TTTAGCTTCAAGCAACAGAAAACCAACTTAAAATGGCATGAATAGTAAAAGGAGCTTTGGCCCAAAGGTAATGGGTCAGGTACGGTTTGATCTAGCAGCTCAAAAATGCCCCAGAATGATCTTTTTACTTTCTATTTCTTACCACTACTTCCTCTCTAGTGGTTCCATTCTAAGACACAGTTCTCCCTCGGTGGTCCCTAGTGGCTGCCAGTGGCAAGTAAGACTAAGACTGACATTTCCCAGTTCAGGTACAGAGGGAAAAAGAGAATCTGCTTCTTGATATCTCAAGCAAAAGTCCTAGGGTAGAGTCTCATTGGCACTAATTGTCCTGATTTGAACCATGTGTCTTTCTAGAACTGATCACTGTTGCTGGTGGGAGGTGGTGGGTGTGTGTCAATATGCAGATTGCTGTAGTCATTTCCACACAATTGCATGGCTGGCTGGGAAGATGATCAATTGGAAGGGTGAACTAGGAATTGGATGCTGAGAAAGAGCTAACAAATGCCTGCCTGCAGCAGCCACTACACACTCTCTGAAAGCTAAGAATGTGAAGAACAAAAAAGTATTTCCTTATACTCTTCGAATAAAGCTAGCCTGAGGATATTGTTCCAATGTTCACTTTTGAACTTCCATGTTTTCCTAACAGATCTGGCAATTCAGCAGCCTCTTCTCCAAAATCAAGAGCTGGGAGTTTAATGAAGTTGCCTCCATGTCTGAACACCTGAAGGCCTGTCCTTTCAATGTTGTAGAGCATAAGACTGACCCAATTCTTTTGACCAGCATGTGTCAGCTCCAGGAGCAGCCCCGAGAGAGCTTAGTCACCACCTTTAGAGCCAGACCACGAGGAAGACTTGTCTGCTAAAGATTCAGGTGCTACCATTCTTGGATTCGCCCTCTGAGTTACTGAAAGTAGGACTGAGTGTGATTTCGAGGCCTTTCTTCTGTAAACCGCATATGGGCTTACCTAGGTGTATTGGAGCATGCACTGCCCCAAATCTGAGCAGTTGCACAAGGTCTAAGAATTTCCTAAGTGATGGCTTGTACACTTGCTTGAAGGGCCATACTGATAACTTATTTCCTTCCCTCCATCCCCTCGTTTGTTTCCTAAAAGAAATAAGTCTGAGGAGAAAATAGGTAACTTGAGGCCATTTGAAAGATGAGCCCAAGTCTTATGAGAGACCAGTGAAATTCTATAACCAGCACAGGCCTGTGCTTTTGTGGAGAACACTGAGTTGATGAGCACTTTCAAATTTATGGGACAGGAAGTGCAGGAGTGGGGACGGAGGTGTGTTCCAGGGTACCCAGGGTGAAGGGCACACAGTTTGATGGTTCTGGAGCTGGGATTGTCTCCACGGTTAAATCCGGGTTTTCTTTCAGTCACTCTACCACCTATAAGGCCAGGAAGTCCAGGCACAGCCCAATAAAATGGAGACCTTGGCCAAGCACAGCAGCCTCAAGGGCACTGCAGGCCAAAGAACGAGAGGCAGAAATGAGGTCACAGAGTTTGTTGTGGAGAATCTTGGCAACCAACATGCAGAAGGACAACATTGCAAAATGGGGAAGAGTCCAAAAGAGACATTGTATTAATGAAGAAAATTAGTACCCAAAGCCACAAATCACTTTTAAACATGTCAAAAATGACTTAAGAGTCAAGGTTCCTTTCTTCTTAAAATTATATTCTAGGTCTGGGTTAGAGATAGCATAGGTACCAGCCTGAGCTGGCTGAGACGATCTCAAGACACTAACACCAACTTCGGTGTCATGCAAGAATGCACAGGGAAGCCCAGAGAGACCACATATTTGGCCAAGTCCAGGCAAGCCTCACTGCAGTTCCTGTGGCACCAGCGACCAGGTCCCAGATACCACTTGAGTACCCTGTTGGGGGACCATGGGAAGGAACACACCTGAACATAGTTGTTCCCTGTAACTGCTCCTACCTGTTGCTGTCATGACTCCAGTCTGTCAGAAATGGGGGATATTGTTGGGTTTTGGTAACAGTGAATACTCATGAAAGCAAGAGTAAAATACTTGGTAGAAACTTCCATCCTCTAAAGCAGGGTTTCTCAGAACTACTGACATTTTGAACTGAATAATTTTTTATCATAAGGACTGTGTCCGGTGTGTTATATTTAGCAGCATGCTTGGCCTCTATCCAATAGATACCAGTAGCACCCCCCCACACACCCCCCCACACACACACAGCTGCAGCAACCAAAAATGTCTCCAAACATTGCTAAATATCCTCTGGGAGTGAAATCATTCTGGGTTGAGAACCACCCTACACAATGTGATACCGGTGGCAGTAACTTAGGATAAGCTTTTTAGTGCAGTAAAATCCTACATAATGATCAACAATGGTTATGATGTTATGTAGTTCTTCTTTATTTACTAGATAAGTTTTAGACAGATGTCATTTTAAGTTGGGAACCAGATGGAGCTGATTGTTTGGTGTGGCTTTACGTCCTTAAGTCATGTGCAAAAAAATATATCCTTTCAGCTCTCTCCAGATGTAGCAGAAGCCAGACACATTGAACTATTTATCTTGTGTTTCTTTCCCTCTCACTTTACTCAGTGCCATTTTCCCATCAGTCCTCAAAGCAAGTAAGAAGGGAAAAGGAGGACAGGTATTATGGGGAAGCAGAGAACAAAGAATTCAGCCAACAAAAAGAAAAAGAGTTTAGTCAATCTGGATGCTTATTGTTGCATGGGTCTTTCTCTGAACATGGTCCAGAGCTGGTATAGATGAAGTAGATGACACTTGTAAGAAGAATCAAGGAGGCATTAGAGCAAGTCCCAGAGCAGAAACATGCTCATCTTTTCATTATAGTACACCACTTGGTACTAGTAGGTAATATCACTTTGTTTCTTAATCCTTTTTGCTTGGTTTATATTTCACATTTGTATATAAGGCACCATTTTCTAAAAATACAACTAGAGTGTGAGCTGTGATTTTATTCAGTGAAGATGAGTAACTGGAAATAACTAAGGGAGAAAAAAGGAAAAGCCCTCCAGGTATCAATTCCATTTGTTTTGAATCTAGTTCCCTCCTATCTGGAGAAAGAAAGCTCCTGAAGTCCGTTCTGTGTTTCTTCTTTTACAAGAAAAAGAGAGAAAGGGAAGCTATTGACCAAGAGAGATTAAAATCAGGGGCTGCTGTTAAGTGGATGAGAAATAATTTAAAAAGCAAGAGAGCAGAGGATTTTCCTTCACAACCTGGGCAGCACAGGGTCTGGGAGAGCAGCCAAGAAACTGCCTGTACAGCTCTGTGCAGTTAATCTTTATTTTCCTAGTTGCTGCCTTTGGAGCAATATTGAATTGATCAACATCATCAATTTTATGAGATATCTAATTGGAGATGTTCCAGGAAACCAGGTACTACCGGTATCCACTGGTCTACACAAATAAGTACATTTTATGGTGAGAGGGTATTTGGAGCAAAAAGGAAGCCTTCTAGAGAGACTGTGGATCTCACAGAAAAATGACTGGATTCATGGGCTGAGGCTGCGGTGAGTAGTGTGAGCAGCAGAATTAGCTGACAGAGGCATGACAGCTAGACATGGCTTCAGATTAAGAAGCAGCTGAGGGGAGTGAAAAGGAATAGGAATAGGAGCTTGGACAGGGAGGTGTCTATGAACAGACACTTTAATGAGTATCAGCACCAGGAGAGTCAATCCGGAGTAGAGACCAGCCAGACTGGGGGGCGGGGGGGGGGCGGGTGAAGTCTGTAGAACTGAAGCAGAAAGGAAGTTTCCGTCTTATAATGAAGCGAAAAGTGAGAAGCAATGTGGAACTTGGAAATGTAACAGGAAAACCACTGTGAGAGTCTGATTTTTGTGTGGTATCAAGTCAAACTGAAGTGAAGAAAGATTGTGTATATCTGTGGTGACTTACCTCTGTATGCTGGAAATCCCAATGTCTCTAGAAGCAGAAATAAAAGCTGTTTTGCACTCTGGAAGGCTACCTGGGTGAATCTTGTTAAGTTAGGTCTAAAGACAGATTTATGATTCACTGGCACAGAAGTCATTGTGTAAACAAAGGAGTGTGTGTCTTAAAGAAAAACCAAGGAACCAGATGAGGGATGTAGTGCTCTAGGCACTTGAGGAGCTCACCAATTATATGAAGTCCTAGAGCAACTATGGATTTCAGTCACTAATCCTCCTTCATCCCATTGCTCCTCCTTCATCCCATTGTTTTCTTCATCTTTTCCCCAAATCCCTGACTTCTACTTTGATATTGCCTATAGGATCTCCTATTAGACCTTGCTAAACACAATGGCCTGGGGCTGGAATAAACACAGGACACCCTGGCCTCTCATTCTTTCTCATCCCCATAATTTGCTTGGTGATTTGCTTTTTTGCCCACCACTAGCTGTCCAAATGTACTCACCTCTTTTTCTATCAGCCTTGGCCCTGGACCACACAGAATGTTCACAGGTTTCCTCTTATCTGTCTTCTACTTGGCCGTCAATAACAGTCATCCAGCTACAAAGAAGCCTGAACTTTCACTTGTAGAGGCCACTGTCTCTGACCCTCAATCCTCGTAGCAACTCGTTGGAGTATGTGGTCCTTTAGCTTTAGTCTTTTTTCTATTTTTTTTCTTTTTTCTTTTTTAATTGACAAAATCTCCCTGTGCCTCCTTTCAATCCCCCAATTTGTGTTTATTCCTCAAGATCATGTCCTAAAAGAGTGTAGTCATTATTCCCAGGCAGAAGGTGGCTGGCCTCTCACAACTGCTGAAGCCAGTAGAAGTTTAACTGCCTTACTGTGAACCCTTCCTTGTCCCCTGGCCCCTCACCTTACTGCTATTTTCCAGGTCAACCTGTTTTGGACTGGGTCTAAGTACAGTCTAAGGAAAAGGCCCACCCCTTGATATCCGGGGTGCAGGGCAATGGGCAGTGGCAGGAAGGAGTCCTCTAGATATGCCTGAAAGAGGAAAGGAGAATTGGAGGCATGAGAGTAGGGCCATTGAGGGCTGTGTAAAAAGTACTATTTACCTCAGCATGGAGATGAATCATAGTCCCATTTTATTTCTGATTTAAGACTGGACAGAGAGAAGACTTAAAAAAATATATCTCTGTGGAAAAGGAAAGGCAAACTAGATATACCTTCCCATGTAAGCAAACCAGGATGTTCAGAGCTCACAAACAGAGCAAGGCAGAACTTGGGGTACTTGAGGGAGCATTCACAGGGAAGGAGGAAGGACCACAAGAGAAACATCCATGAATTCATCTAGGGTCGAGAGTACGCTGAGGGGAAGGCCCACCCCTTTCTCATGCTGTCTCTGCCTCAACCCCTAGTGGAGAAGGAGAGGAAAGTCTGTCTAGAATATCAAGCAACTCATGATATTTGCAGCAGGAATGGGGCACAGGCGGATGCAGAATCACTCTGGACATGGGAAGTCACAGTGCAGAAGACAAGGAGGGCCCGTTACTGGAGAAGCTTGACATAATTTGCAGGAAAGAGTCCAAAGTGGCCATGGCAACGTCCCCGCCACCAGCCCTCATCCACCATCTCGATGTCAGTGATGATGTCATCAGGATCAAAGGAAATTTCATCACTTCCCTCTGGGGAGGCAATTTACGGAGTATTAGGATGGTCAGACAATAATCCTTCCACTTCTGTGCCCATGGTAAACTTCAGGGAGGGAAATGGGCTATTCTTGATGCCAAGGCTAGTCCTTCCCTGACCCTCAGAATCCACCTTCCTTTCTTGTAGTAAGGGCCTCCAGGCACTAGACCCCTCAGGCCACTCCAAACCTACCTCCTTGGTAATCATACAGGGCTATCGCTGAGATCCCTGTTCCAGTCCCAGCTGGGTAGCCAGATGATTCTGCATAATGAGAGATATAAACATGGTCTCACCAACATGGAGAAGGATAGCAGGTCCTTTTGGGTAATGGGGGAATTCTTCCTCTTACTCGCCCCTGGACTAGACCCAGTTCAGGAGCTGTTTCTCCCCCACCACTCACCAGCCGGAGTAGGACAAGAGGGACTCTGAACTTCGAGCACATCCTCATAGTCCCCATCTGCTTCACCATCCTCTTGACGTATGTCTATGTCTCCAACATCCTCATAGTCATTCTCAGGCTCAGCCGCGGGCTCAGGCTCAGGCTCAGGCTTAGGCTCAGGCTCAGGCTCTGCTTCATACACTGGCTCTTCCTCGAGCTGTAGGCCTTCCAGAGTCCTAGGAGGCAAAGCCGGGGGCTCCTCATCCTGGGAAGAGATGGTGTGGATCAGAGGGATTTCTACAACAGGAGCTGCCTCTCTAAAACCTCCCTATGGAGGACTGCTAATACCCCACCCATCACCGTCCTACCACTTCTACCCTCTATCCTTGCCTCCATCTAACAGCCTCTCCTAGGGAACCTAGTCTTTTATCCATCTTCATTCCTCAACTTCCTCCCATACCCACCCACTCAAAACGCCTGCCAAGAGGCAATAGGAGGGAAATGTGAAATGTGTGAGAAGAGGGAAATGGAAAGCAAGTCTGATTCACTGAGTGACCAGGAAAGCACTGAAGCAAACTCGCATCTTTGGGAATCCCACAGCTAGGATTGACCAACTGTCCTGGTCTGCCCAGGACCGGGCGATCCCCAGAATGCAAGACTTTCAGTGCTAAGACCAGGACGGTACCAGACAAACCAGGATGGTTGGTCACTTTATAGGGCCCACCTTCCTAGGACATGAGATGAGGAAGGGGCAGAGAATCTTTGGGGCTCTGCTTACCTCTGGGGGATTCTGAAGCAAGGGCAGGGCAGGCACTGGGCGTTCTGCACTGGTTCTCACAGGCTCAGGCTCAGATGATGGAGAGCTCCCTGCTGGAGGCCAGGCCTGGGGAGAATAAAGCATCTCTCTGGTAAGTATGCAGACCTCAGTGTTCTCTCTTATACTGACCCGGAATACCCCTTGCTGTCTCTTCCAATCCAAATCAATCACCTCTCAAGATGGGCTCCCACCTGAAGTGATAGCTCCTTCCCCCTTGTTCCTGCAGCAGTGACTGGCTTCACAGCCAAATATGCAATCTTGGTATATGTACATCTGGGATTTTTCCCCCTAACATTTTGGTATATATGAGGCCCAATCATTTAGACTGAAATCATCCTAAAGAAGAGATAGAAGTTATAGACTTTGCCTAAAACCAGGGAGGCCCATGCCTTATTTTCTATCAATGATTTGGACTTCTTAGGCTCCTATCTGGGCAAGGAATCTTGGATGTGAATCCCAGAAGGTCAAGCACTCACATCTGAGGAGATTTTCTTGGGCAGTGGGGCTGGCACCTCCGGCTCTCGCACAGTGTTCACTGGCTGCTGAGCCTCGTGGCTCATCTTTTTCAGAGCCTTTCTCTCCTGTTGCTGCCTGGCTATCTGCTGTGCCTTTTCTTCTTCCTCTCGCTTCCTCTTCTCCTCAGCCATAGACTCAAATTTTGCCTTCAAGCCACGGGCACCACTGGAAGCTGCAGACACAGGCAAGAAGAATTAGTATTGTCTTGGCTCAGGGGTGGGGGATGGCACTAAAGGAAGAAAAGGAATTGGTTAAATATCCAGGCAGAGAGCAGATGGAGAGGGACTCATGGGAAGAAAAGTAAAGAGGTATTAATGGAGGAACTAGGGGATTATAGGAGGAGGATGTAGCCCTAAAGCCCAGATTTCCATATAGCCAGGCCATGCAATCTCAGACTTTTGTCCTTTCTAAATTATAAGCCTTGCTCCCCTAATCAACATCCTTCTCTATCCACATTCCTTAAATCTGTATGCCCTCTGACCACCACCCACCGTCTCTTCCCTCATTGCAAGCTCTTATCCTTCTGTATTCTTCCCAAATGACTCCCTATCCCTCCTTCCCTGTGTTATCAGCTTATAGTACCTTTCCAGTGTCACTCTTTATCTATATCCACTTAACCTAGTTTGTTTGTTTGTTTTTGTTTTTGTTTTAGGAGAGAGGATCTGGAAATATCAAGTCTATCTCAGCTAGTCTAGGTAGTTAAAGGTATGGAGGAGGTATCTAGGCATAAGAAAGAATGAGAAGGGAGAGGTGGTTGAGGAACATAGAGAAAAGGAGTTAAGACTCACCAGCCTCTATGGGTGTCGTCTTTTTATAAGCTGTGGTTGGGGCCTCCATTTCATTGAAGCCAACAGCGCTCTGAAGAGAGAAGAGTATATGCAGTGTGGGGAGGAGAAGGGAATGATAATGACCCAGAGTCAGTATTGGGGATTGAGGCCCCCATAGGAGGTATCTCTGACCATGTGATGGTCAATAGTTAAACAGGGTATTTCAATATTGTTATTTTGCAGCAGAGAGAGGGATAAAGAAGTTCTAACTTGGTGGGCTCAGCTCTCCCTTTTGAAAGCCCAGAGTACATAGCATCTCACATCTCTAAGTCCAGTTGCCTAGAATGCAGCATGGCCCCAGCCAATACATGAAGGAGAACTGATGTGAATGGAGTGGGAAGAGATTATAGATTGAATTAAGCAATGCCTAATAATCAATGAAATTTCAAACACCACCTTTCCCTAAAACGTATCTGTGTTTGTCTCTCTCTGGCTCCATTTTCCTTAGTTAAAGCTCAGGCTGCAGAAGACTTGCCCATTAAATGCTGAAAGCAGTCAAAGGGGAGTATAGGATGACAGCTCAGGACACTTAGCTTTTCCTATCTCAAGGTACTTTAGGAGCAGTTTAGGGACTTCTCAAGATATTGAGTGTGCTGGGCAGGCCTGGTGGCTCGGCGGTTTAGCGCCACCTTCAGCCCAGGGTGTGATCCTGGGGACCCAGGGTCAAGTCTCACATCAGGCTCGCTGCATGGAGCCTGCTTCTCCCTCTGCCTGTGTCTCTGCCTCTCTCTCTCTCTCTCTCTCTCTCTCTCTCATGAATAAATAAATAGAAATCTTTATTAAAAAAAAGATATTGGTGTGCTGATGCTTTACCTTATCCACTCGGTCCTTCTGGATTCCATATTGACCACCAAAGCCCTTGGCATAATCTGCAGAACACAAAGGTTTGAGAGTCATAAGAAGAGTTAAAATGCTAGGAATATGTAGGTAGAGGATTTTATAGGAAGAAAGACCAGAAGACAGGAATGTGGAAAACAGAGATGAATGAGGAAGTATGAGAATCAGAGGATAGAGAGAAGCATGGATGGGAATAGGCAGAAAAGGACTGAGAGAGAAAGGACAGGAGAGAGATGTGAAGAGGGGAAGATAAAAAAGAGAGAAGTAAGAGAAAAGGAAGGAATACAGAGAAGAAATGCGAAAAAATAAGGAGAGCCATCCAGCCATCCCTTATGTGTCCCAGAGAGAGACCTCTCTGTCCTTGTGAGTCATGGGGGCCTGTGAGACTCATAACCAAACCACCCACTTGTCATCACCCTGCCCATCTGAGTTTACCCTTTCCTCAGTGACCCTTTCTCTTTGGTCTCCTCTGTCCTGCTCCTAATCTTGCTGTTTTCTTCTCTGTCCTCCTGGTGTCTGCCCCCACCCCTACATACATACGTACACTTACCCTTTATACCACCACATACTCTGAACATCTATACCTCTGTATTCTGGATCCTCTATGTCAGCTTCCAGAAAGGAAGGAAGGCAGACTTTATGCTACTCTGAGACCTTCTTCCTCTCCAACCCAACTTACCTCTTTGGGACTCGTGTTTCTCTGTTTCTCCCTTGTAGTCATATCCCAGAGCTGCCTTGTCCCGTTTATCCTTCTCTATACCATAGCGGCCTCCAAAGCCATGAGAGTAATCTATGGTGGAAGGAGGAGTCATGAGAGCCTGCTCTAAGCCCACAGGAATGTGCTGTGGAAGAGAGAAGTCAGGAGGAACGCATGCAGAGGGATAAGGGCCTGGGAAAAGAGCAGGGCTAGGATCTAGGTAGATTCACAAGAAACAAGTATCCTAAGTCATCGTTTGTAAGCTGTAATTCAACACTGTTCACTCCTTTCCTCTCCTCCTTTACCTCCATCCCAAAATGAGAAGATCGTTTCAATTTTCTCCCTTCTTCAGGGGAGGTGAAAGTATAGAGAATGTAAAGAGAGACTTTCAGGAGAAAAAAGGCAGATACATATGAAAACAGGCATATGAAATTTATGCCTGTTCCTATTCCCATATAAACACTTAGAAATGTCTGCTAAAATATAACTTCTTTTTTTTCTTTTGTAGTGAAGCTCAAGAAAAAAAGAAAAAAAAATATCCTGGCTCCAGAAGCAAATAGATGAATCAAAGCCAAAAATATGAAGGCAATTATGAACTAACTCAGAAATCCCAAGGGTGTTTTAAATCCCAAATTTAGTCCCTAGGGATTAGGATGAGAACAGCGGGCTGGGGAACAAGAAATGGAAGTCTGCCCACTTCTATAAAAGAGTTCTAGAAAAATTCTATTCATTTGTTCAGGGAAATGGTGAAGGGGGTTGTAGTTTGTTCAGCATTTGGTAGGGGGAAATTTTACCTATGGAACTTGGAAACTCCAGGCCTATCCTGAGTATGTAGAATGTAAATATCCAGTTTTATACTATTTATATTACACAGGAATTCTAAGCTGGGAAATTAATGTTGACCTAGAAAAATATATACTAAAGAAAGAATATGCATCAGAAAGATGGCAAGAATATCAGACAAAGTAGACCTCAATACAAAATGCATTATAAGAGATAAATATATAAATATAACACAAAAACAAGAGAACAAATCATCATTAATGAGGAATATGTATGCTGGTATAATCTATTAACAGAATCAAAACTCATGAAGCAAAAACTGACAGAAACAAAGAAAAATAGAAAAATATGTGATCCTAGATGAAAATTTTAGCACTCTTCTTACGTTATTTGAAAGAATGTTTAGACAAAAATAATCTAAAATTATAGAAGGCCCAAACAACATTAACAACTAACAAAACCTAATTAACATTTACAGAACATTATATCCCCAAACTGCAGAATATAGTTTTTTTATGCACATAGAACATTCACCAAGGTAGACCATATGGTTGGAGTACCTGGATGGCTTAGGAAAGTAAGCATCTGACTCTTGATTTCAGTTCAGGTCATGATCTCAGGATCATGAGATCAAGCCCTGCATCGAGTTCTGTACTGGGCATGGAACTTGCTTAAGATTCTCCCTCTCCCTCTCCCCCTCACCACTGCACTTAAAAAATAAAATAAAAATAAAAAAGAGAGAGACAATCAAATGAGAATGAAAATCTTCAATATTCATCAATATGAGTTCCAGAAGAAGGGATAAAAGAGAAAAGAGAAGAAGCACTATCCCAAGACAACAGGCCTGAGAACTTTCTATAATGAAAGTTATTTCTCAGGTTGAAGAGAACTGGTTAGTCTCATGTAGGATAAGAGAAATAGATCCAACACCTAGATATATCTGAGGGTATCAGAGAGAGAAAAAAAAAACTTTTCATGAAAAAAAAAAACAAAAAAAACAAACAGAACAGAGAGACAAGACATGTTACCTACAAAGGAACAAGAGTTAGACTCCACAAGAGAGATGCCAAAAAGGATGAAATAATATACTCAAAGTGATGATGGGAAAATAGCAATGAAGAATGAAACAAAATGTATATTTTAGACAAAGCCTGGGAGTTTTTTCATAGGCTCTCACTGGAAGAATTATCAAAGGACATACTTTAGTAAGAAGAAAATAGAAGAAAAGAGGAAACAGATACAATAAACAGTGATGCACCAGATACTTGGTAAATATGTTGGTCAACTTAAATAAGTATTCACTAAATAATAATAATGATTCATTTTTGTGGGGTTTAAAACACAAAATCCTTATACTGAGCAACAACAATTGGCCAGTTGGCACTAAGAATGTAGGATGTAGAAGGAATGTAATTAACTTATTCTACATTTCCTTTATTACTAGGAAGAGACAGTGATTAATTTTAAACTTAAGTCAAAGATGAATGTTAAAATCTAGGGACTACGTCCTAAAATAAAGTAGTAGAATACCTTATTTTCAATCCATTAGAGGGAAGGGGAACTAAAGAAAACTTGATCAATCTCCTAGAAGAAGGTAAATAAGAAAGAAGCAAGTACATGCTTGGATTTAAAAAAATAAAATAGTGGGGAACTGTGCCTGCAACTAAAGGGAGTTGATGACAGCTGTTGGGAGGTGAAGTCTGAGTAGAACAGGTCAATCAGGTTGCTAAGGCTGAAGTGCAGGGTCCTTGCCTTTCTGAGATGCGTGCTTCTCCACTTCTCCTTTGTAATCAAAACCAACTGCAGACTACAGAGAAAAGGAGAGTGGATTAGTTAGAATTGGAACTGACAGTTTTTCCCCTCCCTCACACACTCGTACCCCTAGCTCAGGCCAGAAGCTAGTTTACAAGAGCTCAGGGCTGAGAATGGGGGTTTAACCTAGAAACAGACAAGAACCCTGACCGGCAGGCTGGTGTAGTGGCTGTATGCTACAGAGCAATGAACTTGCGCTCCGTAGGTTCATTAGCTCTAGATTCAAAATCCAACCTCACCTTCCCTATTTATGGTTGTTTAACTTAAGCATATCCTTTATATCACTGAGCCCCAGTCACCTCAAATATGAAATAAAAATAGGCAAACCTGCTTTATTTGCCTCAACTATAAAATGAGAGAAATGATATTGTGGGTACTAAGTGGGGCAACGTATATAAAGTATTTGTATTGTGTCATTCAGTAAATTAGTGCTTTTCTTCCTAATTCTCATGAAACTAAAATAACAGCTAGAAAAGTACCTTGTAAACTATAAAGCACTATGCACATGTAAGAAATATTATCCCATTCCTAATGTATTATATATACCACACCTCTTCTCTTTCTCTAAGTGGCAGGGGAAACCCAGAGATGTATTTTGGTGGGAGGAGAGGCAACTGGGAGAACTTGGGCCCTAGCTGCTTCAGGCCTGGATATGTTAGCTAATACCTAACATCATCACATAGCTGCATCCCCATCTAGCTCAGGACCTTGGGTCTCCAAGCAAGACTAGATTTTCCATCTCAAGGGCTATTAGTATGTATGGTTTCTTAATTTACATGACACACTGATTGTTTAGGTGATTCCCTCTGTGGCGCATGAGGCAGATGAAAGAAAGAGCAATGAGAGATCAGGCAAAGGTGAGATGGAAGGGAAATCCCATCCTCGTTAGAGAAGAACATTCCATGCTCCATATTCCATTATGCCTTAAAAAATTACCTTCTGTATTTTTCCTTTTCATTACAGTAATTTTGAACTTTTCTGCCGATACCCTACAATGCAAATAATATTCTAATACTTAGCTTTAAGGATTCAGGCCCACCTAATTAACAACTGCAGGTAAAAAGAAAGTCTCAGCTAGCTGTGAAGGAAATATCCTCCCTGTATGCAGCTACAAGGGAAGAGACACTATTCTACCCATAAAAAATAGGATCAGCGAGTCTGAACTCAGGCACCTGGGGTGGTGCTGTGGGGTGGGCATCTGACCCTTGGTTTTTGCTTAAGTCATGACCTCAGGGTCATTAGATCGAGCTCTACCTCTGGCTCCATACTCAGTGCAGTCTGTTTGGGACTCTCTCTTTCTCTCTCTCTCTCATCTTCCTTCTACTCTCTCTCAAATAAATAAATCCTTAAAAAAAGAGTCTGATCTACTCAGGTGTGAAATGAGAACATTAATGAGTTATCAATGGTACTCTCCTGACCACTCTATAATTTTAATTGTACTGTGCCTTTTCTCCTCTTTTTAAAACTACTTTTTTGTACAGAGGCATCTTTAAAACCCCTGGACTTCAAGGATTTGGTGCTAAATCCTGTGAAAAGTAACCTCTACCTTCTAAAAACATTATAACCCTAATTAGCTGTTGTACTCAATTATTTGCTGCTGTGGTAATAATACTTAAGCTAACATCTGTGTTCTCCTGAAAGGTATAAATAATTATAACATTTTAATATTTGACCAAAAGAGGACTTTTGAAATTTCCCTCCTCTTTCTTCATACATACAGGCATAATAAAAATCAATGATTTGATGGATTTCTTTTCTAAACAGAGCTTGAGACTCTTTTTCTCATTTAAATTAACACTATTCAGCTCAGCATGTGGCTTCCCAGAGTGGCACCAAGGAATTTGCTAAGGAAGGTTATGGGAGCTATCATCATGATGAACCCACCTAAGTCCACTGCCCTCTCCCTCTTTAGGAGAAACATAGGCCCACATTAAATGGTGAGTGTTGATAAATCCCACATGATGTGAGCTGGGTAGCATTGGGAGAGACTTACCTTGTCTGCCCTGTCCTTCTCAACTCCATATTTGCCACCAAAGCCTCTGGCAGCATCAGTCTGAGAAGAGTGCTTCTCCACCTCAGCGACATATTCATGGCCCACAGCACTCTAAAAAAAAATCAGATGGAATGAGTGAAGGACGTAAGAGACTCTTATATATAGGGAACAAACTGAGGGCTCTGGAGGAGAGATAGGTGGAGGGACAGGGTAACTGGGTGATGGGCATTAAGGAGGGTATTTGATGGAATGAGTACTGGGTGAATCACTGCAACTGATGAATCACTACATTCTACCCCTGAAACCAATACAACACTGTATGTAATCTAACTTGAATTTAAATAAAAATTTGAAGAAAAAAAAAGAAATAATGCAGACATGGGTTGGAATGTGAGAATAGAACAAATTCAATTCTGGGTCACTCTCATAGCCTCCATGGGTTTATCACACAGAGAATAGGTGATAGGGGAGAACAAGATTACTTTTTCTGGAAGCTTGCACATCCTAAGTCTTCCTTAATACCATTAGGAACTCATCATTCAGGAAACTCCTATCGGATGGACTGGCAATCCCAAGGATAGAGACAAAGTAGACAGAACAGTGTTTAAACAAAAAACAAAAAGAAAGCTAATGACAAGGGACATATGGGTCAAAATAGAATGAGGTAGTTATCGAAGAGAGATCAAGGGGGACTGACTTAATTAATGCTCCAACTGAGATTGCGTATTTCATGAAAACAGCCAGGTGCTTTTGTTTTGGATCTTTGTTCCTGGGTGTCCATCAAATTTCAGAAGAGCCAGCTGAGCCCTGATATTTAACAGTGACTGACTCGACACCAAAGGGGGTTGGCAGATAATACTGCAAGTAGTCCAAGAGGGCATATAAGTTTCCTATTTCCCCCCACTTTTTACTCCATCTATTGTTTTATTTTCTATTTGGTTTTGAAAGGTATATCTCTTTTAATATTTAGATATGGATACTTTTAAAATTTGGAATTTGGGTAGTACCTCAAACCAAATAATGATACCTTGCAGAGTCCCAACCAAAAAGAAATTAAAAAGCTTTTCCTTCCTCCTGTTCCAAGCTCATGCTGGGATAAACATTATCAACAGAGACTGATATGAAACACTGCCCTGTATGAGCTCCTGGGAACATCTTTTGCAGTATTTTTAGGTCTGTGTAGGTCAGATTTGCTTGTGAATTTAAGAACGAATGAATGCTTATCTTAGTTTTTTTCCTAGGAATTTTGTAAAGAATATAAGCCTATGTTGCACTTTATACAATGACAAAACAAAATACTTCTTGAGGGTGAACTAAGGGCTTTCACTGGATAGATTTTTTTTTTCTCCTTGGAGATAAAATGTTTTTTGTTATGGGCATATATATCTCTATCTTTGAGGTGAGGAAAATCAATGGAAACTGATTTATAATATAAGTACTTTTATCATACTTTTATAGTAGTTAATGGATAAAGGAAAACAATATTCATATTTGAAGGTATCTAAAAATTAAATTAACATCAATATTTTTCACATGTGCACATCATATAAAGTATAATATATATACAAAAAGAACACTAAATACACAGTAAAGAAAATAATGATAAGTTGCAACATCAGCATAACACACAAGCATTTACAAGCAGTAAATGATTTTAAAACAGATTTTTTTATTTCTCTAATTGTGACCCTGTCTCCTTAGTCTAGGAGTTACAGTATGGCTGGCCTACTGTGGGCCACTCTTTTTTAAATTTTTGAATCCTGTTTTCCACCATTTATATTTTATGTGTTGGAATCACGAAAAAAATATACAAATAATATGGGGACATTCTATTTTAAAGCCCAAATGAAAACTGTACTTTTGAATAAGTTTTGAACCATAATACCAATAAATGAACCAATCCATCTTTTGTCTTTAAGCAAATATCTTCCTTTCAACTTACCTTGTCCATTCGGTCTCTTTCCACCCCAAATCGACCTCCGTACCCATGGGATGCTTTGGGCCCTGATTCCATCTCCTTCTTCTTGAGAATATCATGTTCCTCTGATACTTTGTTCCTCAGCTGGTGGATGCTGGAAGTAAACACATGACAGAGACTCATCTAGCACTGAAAGTCAATGAATTATCCTTCCCAGAAAAATGGAAATCCTAAGAGGTATTGCTTATTTTTACCAAAAATCTGAGCCCCCAAAGTATATCAATACTGGGTTTGGGAGTAAGAGATTAGTGTGGCCTACATACTATATAGTGTGATTTAAACTTTTCATAAGCCAATAATACTTTTTCCAGTCCGTTATTTTGCCCACTAAATTAATCTTCTGATATTTGTCACATTTTTCATCGTCCTAAATATTAGAGGACAGTGGTGCCAATTATATTCTAGTAACTAGGAAGTTATTTTCCTTCTAAATGGGTATGCTTTCTAGCTTTAGATATTCTCTTTAAAAAAGCACAAAAATATTTATATACCCTTTTACCCATACATTCTAGTCCTGAGAGTCTACCCCAAGGAAATAATTTTAAGCATGGCAAGGCTTAATGTCTGATACTGTGCACTGAAACACTGTATATAATAGCAAAACTAAGAAACAATTTGTATGGACAATACTTGGAGAATATATATATTATGTATATAATATATATTATGGAATATTACTCAGCCATCACAAAGAAGGAAATTTTGCCATTTGCAACAACATGGATAGAACTAGAGGGTATTATGCTAAACAAAATAAGTCAGAGAAAGACAAATAGCATATTATTTCACTCATATATGGAACTTAAGAAACAACATAAAGACTCCTAACTCTGGGAAATGAACTAGGGGTGGTGGAAGGGGAGGAGGGCGGGGGGTGGGGGTGAATGGGTGACGGGCATGGAGGGGGACACTCGACGGGATGAGCACTGGGTGTTATTCTGTATGTTGGTAAATTGAACACCAATAAAAATTAATTTATAAAAAAAAAAGAAACAAAACAGAGAACATAGGGGATGGGAAGGAAAAATAAAATAAGATAAAAACAGAGTGAGAGGCAAACCTAAGGGACTCTTAACTATAGGGAATAAGCTGAGAGTTGCTGGAAGGGTGGAAGGAGTGGAGTAACTGGGTGTTGGGCATTTGATGGAATGAGCACTGGGTGTTATGAATCACTACATTCTACCCCTGAAACTAATAATACACTATATGTTAACTAAGTTGAATTAAAATAAAATAAATAAAATAAAAAAATTAAAATAAAAAATCTACCTGCATGAAGAATAATTTAAAAATAAAGCCATTATCAGAGATGTTTAAAAAACTAATAAATTTCACTCATCACTAATTATTGTGATACTTTAAGGCTCAAATAACCTTGATTTGGGACACCTCTGTCCCTAAGAGACTGTAACACCAAAAGGAGGCATTCATTCTCCTTCTTACTTCACTTTCATCTTCACCATGAGGATAGAGAACACCTCTGCGTATCTGTTTGCCCTGAGGATATGAAGTAATAGCTCAGCACCAGCACTAGCATCAATGAGTGACAATCAGGACTGATATCTGAACACATATAAGCATCTCTGGGGATTCTTAGAAACATTTGGGTAAGAGAACCCTTAATAAAAAATTTTGACTTCCTGCAGCAAGAAACAGAGGTTTATAGAATTGAGACAGTAATGTTACTGGGACTTCACCTGCTCCAGAAAACTAGGTACATTGGTTATAGGTAGAATGGCCACTCCACAGCAGAAATTCTCTTCTTTCATGGGAGAATAGATCCATCTGGTGGCCTTGTAGTATAAGCCCACCAAAAGTCTTTTTTAAAAGCCTTCTCAGCTTTAGTCATAGTTAATTTTAGAAAGCTGGCTTGGAACCAGATGAAATAAGCTAAGTGCTGGAAGAACCATCTGTTCCGTGCCTGCTCTAAACCCTCTGGCAGCAGTGGAGGCAGAGATCCTGTGTTGCTAGTTCAACAACACTGACACTTTAGAAATGTCTGTGTCAAAAAAGCGATTGGTTCCAAGAACATGTAAATAACTGTTATTTCCCAACCAAAATATTCAGATGAAGAAAGAAGAAAATGGGGCTTAAAAATTACTTTTAAATGAGGAAAATGTGCAAAGTTTTAACGAACCCAATGATCGCCACATGAGTCATAACTATATTATAATTAAAACAAGTTTTTAAAAGGGATTTAAAAATGAGATTCAGGAATTTCCACCTTATGGATTAACCGCAAGGCTAATCAGAAGATCATGCCAATAAATAATACAATTTAAATAAAAATGTTGGGGCCAAAGAAGACGGACTTCTATATATTAAAATATATATATATATGTACACACATATATATACATATATATGTATATATTTGCAATAACATATATATATATATATAATATAGCCACTCTAAATAGGTCTTAATTGTATTACTCCTTCACTCAATAAACCTTTGAGTATAAGGCACTGTTAGGCTCTGAGGATACAAAGATGCTTAATGTATATGGAGATAGTGGTCAGTTGGAAGAAATATAAAAAGTTACAATTCAATGTGCTAAGTGGCATACATAAGAAACTTTTGACACACTGATGCTCAGATGCCTATTTTAAGTTTTAAAATACCTTGGATTTGGCAAAGCAATGTAGTTTATAGAACCAAGGGAAACCCAGGACCTTAAAGATGAATTAGGGGAAGGAACTGATCTTTTTGTTTTTGTTACAAAAGTAAAAGCACAAAGGTGAGTCACACAGATTAAGATTTTATCCACAGATGATCATAGATGTAGAAAATCCTAAAGAATTCACCAAATGTGCTACTAGAACTATTAAGTACAGTTGGCAAGTTCATAGGATATAAGGTCACTATCAAAATCAACTTCATTTCTACATACAGGCATAACTCATTTTAGAAGCCCTTCAATATCATCTACACTTTGCAGATATTGTGTTTTTAACCCACTGAAAATTTGTGGCAACCCTACATTAAGTGAGTTCATTGGTACCATTTTTCCAACACCATTTGCTCACTTCATGTATCTGTGTCACTTTTTGGTAATTTGCACAATATTTCATAGTTTTTCATTATTATTATATATTATTATAATTGCTATGGTGATCCATGATCAGTGATCTCTGATGTTACTATTGTAATTGTTTTTGGGGCATCATGGACCATACCAATATAAGATGGTAAACTTAATTCATAAATGTTGGGTATGTTCTGACTGTTTCACCAATGAGCCATTTCTCTCTCTCTCTCTCTCCTCAGGCCTCCCTAATCCCTGAGACACAACATTGAAATCAGGCCAATTAATAAGCCTACAATAGCCTCTAAGTGTTTGAGTAAAAGGAAGAATCACATGTCTCTCACTCTAAATCAAAAGCTAGAAATGATTAAGTTTCATGAGGAGGGCATGTCAAAAGCCAGCATAGGCCCAGAGCTAGGCCACTTGCACCAAACAATTAGCCAAGTTGTGAATAAAAAGGAAGAGTCCTTAAAGGAAATTAAAAGCACTACTCCAGTGAAAATATGAGTGATAAGATAGTGAACCAGCCTTATTGCTGATTTGGAGAACATTTGAGAGATATGGATACAAGATCAAACCAATGACAACACTCCCTTAAGCCAAACCCTAATTCAGAGCAAGGCCCTAACTCTCTTTAATTCTATGAAGGCTGAGAGAGGTGAGGAAGCTGCAGAAGAAAAGTTGGAAGCTAGCAGAGGTTGGCTCATGAGGTTTAAGGGAAGAAGCCATCTCCATAAAAGTACAAGGGGAAGCAGCAAGTGCTGATGTAGAATCTGCAGCAAGTTGTCCAGAAGACCTAGCTCAGATCAATCATGAAGGTGGCTACACTAAACAATAGATTTTTCAGTGTGGATAACTAAGCCTTATTTTGAAAGAAGTTGGCATCTAGGACTCTCACAGCTCAAGAGTAGAAGTCAGCCCAGCTTCAAAGTTTCAAACGAGAGTTTGACTCTCTTGTTAAGGGCTAAGGCAGCTGATGATTTTAAGCTGAAACCAATGCTTATTTACCATTCTGAAAATCCTGGAGCCCTTAAGAATTATGCTAAATCTATTCTGCTGTGCTCTACAAATGGAAGAACAACCCTGGATGATAGATAGCATGTGTTTACAACATGGTTTACTGAATATTTTAGGTCCACTGTTGAGACCTACAGCTCAGAAAGATTCCTTTCAAAATATCACTGCTCAATGACAATGTACCTGGTCATCCAAGAGCTTTGATGGAGATGCACATGATTAATATCACTTTCATGCCTGCTGACACAAATCCATTCTGCTGCCCATAGATCAAGGAGTAAATTTCATCTTTCAAGTCTTATTATCTAATAAATATGTCTTGTGAGGCTATAGCTGCCCTGATAGTGCTTCCTCTGATGGATCTGGGCAAAGTACACTGAAAACCTTCTGGAACAGATTCATCCTTCTATGTGCCATTAAGAACATTCATAATTCGCAGGGAGAGATCAAAATATCAACATTAATAGGAGTTTAGAGGAAGTTGCATCCAACCATCATGGACGAATTTGAGGGGTTCAAGACTTCAGTGGAGGAATTAACTGCAAATGTAGGGCAAGCAGCAAGAGAACTAGAATTAGAAGTGGAGCCTGAGGATGTGACTGAACTGTTATCTCGTGATAGAACTTTAATGGATGAACAGTTGCTTCTTACAGACAAGCAAAGAAAGTGGTTTCTTGAGACGAAATGTACTCCTGGTGAAGATGCTGTGAAAACTATTGAAATGATACCAAAGGATTTAGAATATTATATAAACTTACATGATAAAGCAGGTGGCAGGTTTTGAAAGGATTGATTCCAATTTTGAAAAAAGCTCTACTGTGGGTAAAATGCTATCAAACAGTGTTGCATGCTACAGGGAAATCATTGATGAAAGGAAGTGTCAATCAATGTAGCAATCTTCCAATTTTGGCACAAAATTTTGCCATAGAAATTACCACAGTCACCCCAACTTTAGCAACTATCACCTTGATCAGTTAGAAGCCATCAACATGAAGGCAAGATCCTCCACCAGCAAAAAGATTATGACTCACAGGATGTTCAGATGACGCTTAGCATTTTTTTTTAGCAATAAAGTGTTTTTAAATTAAGGTATGTACATATTTTAGACATAATGCTATATACACTTAGTAGACTACAATATAATGTAAGCATAAATTTTATATGCACTGAATGAATAAAAACATTCATCTGACTTGCTTTATTACAATATTTACTTTATTGTGAGGATCTGGAGCCAAACCTGCAATATCATTGAGGTATGACTATACCAGCGTGGACATTTGGAATTAATTAAAAGCTAAAAATAAATACCATTTATCATCACATGAAATATTTTAGCATCAGTGTAACAAAATATGTCCAAGACCTGAACACTGAAAAATATTTCTAAAAAATTAAAGAAGACCTAGATAAATACATGTTCATAGACAGGAAAATTCAAAATCATTAAGCTATCAATTTTCTCTAAAATAATCTACAGATTCAATGAATTTCAACCAAAATATGAACAGGCATTTTTATAGGAATTGACTTTTTATTCTAAAATGAATGGGAGAAATTAGAGGAAAACAAACCATGAGAGACTCCTAACTCTGGGAAACAAAGGGTTGCAGAAAAGGAGGTGGGTGGGGGGATGTGGTGACTGGATGACGGGCACTAAGGAGGGCTCATGATGAGATGAGCACTGGGTGTTATACTATATGTTGGCAAATTGAATTTAAATAAAATATTTTTAAAAATAAATAAATGAAATGTAAAGTTCTGGGTTAGTATAGTTTTTTTTAAGGGAGGCAAATTTAGAGGATATGACTTTATGACATATTATAAAGCTACAATAATCAGTGCAGTATGGTATAGTTCAAGGTTGACAAAAAGATTTTTAAAAAATACTATGGAAATATACCTGTATGTATATGGTCAAAGATACTATGTAAGTAAATGGAGAAAGAACAGACTTTTTTGAGATATGGGGAGGGGTAGGGTGAGAGGGAGAGAATCTTATGCAGTCTCCATGCCCAGCACAAGCCCTAAATGGGACTCTATCTCATGACCCTAAGATCATTATCTGAGCTGAAATCAAGAGTCATATGTGAAACCAACTGAGCCATCCATATGCCCCAATGAACATCTTATGATGTTGGAATAATAAAATATCCATTCAAAAAAGGTGAACCTCAATCTTTGCCTCACACTGTACACAAAAGCAACTTTGAAATAGGTCATAGGTTTAAATGTAAATGTAAAAGCTAAACCTATAAATCTTTTAGAACAAAATATAAGAGAAAACCTTCACAATTTGAAGGAGTAGATGGAAGTTCATCAGGTATATAAAGTGTTAGTCAAAATATTGTTTGAAAAAATAGACTTCATTAGAATTACTATCTTCTGATCCTCAAAAGATGCCATTAAGAAAATGAAAAGACAAGTTTAAGCTGGAAGGAAATATTTGTATAACACATATCTCACAAAAGACTATAAAAGAATATATAAAAAGCCCTTAAAACTCAATAACAATAGAAATGATCTACTTTGAAAGTGAGGAAAAGATTTGAACAGATACTTTAAATAAAGATACATGAATGACACATAGCAAGATGCTCAATAAAATTAGACATCAAAAAATACAAGTCAAAATCACCACATACCCACAAGAATGGTAAAAATTAAAAATACTAACAATTTCAAGTGTAGACAAGGATGTGGAGCAATTGAAATCCATACATTATTGATAGGAATAAAAAATGGTAAATTCCTTTCAGAAAACAGTGGTAATTAAAAAAAAATACACACTATATGACTTAGCAATTCTATTCCAAGGTATTTCACAAGAGAAACAAAAATATGTGTCAACAAAAAGATTTGGACCCAAACGTTCATGACAGCTTTATTTGCAATAGTCCCAAATTGTCAACAACCCAGATGTCCATCAGTAAGGTAATGGATAAAATAAACTATGGTATATCCATACAATGGGAAATTACTTGACAGTTAAAAAGAACAAAAGTCTAATACACAGAGAAGGAGGCAAGCCATAAGAGATTCTTAACTTTAGGGAACAAACTGAGGGTGATATGGTGATGGGGTAATTGGGTGATGGACATTAAGGAGGGCACATGATGTAATGAGTACTGGGTAGTATATTTAACTGATGAATCACTAAATTCTAACCCTGATACTAATACTATACTATATGTTAACTAAATTGAATTTAAATAAAATCTTTTTAAAAAGGGACTGGTATGCAAAGACCATGGATAGATCTCAAAAAATTGTGTTGAATGAAAGAAAACAGACATAAAAGAATGCATTCGGTATTATTGCACTTACATAAAATTCTGGAACAGGCAAGACTAATGTATAGTGACAAGAGGCAGCTCAGTGTTTACACCCAGCCAGGGATGGACATGGGATATACTGACATGCGCATGATAGAGCAAGAGTGGCAGAAGCTGGAGGAAGGGACACCTGGGTGGCTCAGTGGTTGAGCATCTGCCACGAGTCCCGCATTAGGGTCCCAGCAGGGAGCCTGCTTCCCCTCTGCCTATGTCTCTGCCTCTCTCTCTCTCTGTTTCTCATGAATAAATAAACAAAATCACCAGAAAAAAAGAAGCAGCAGCAGGAGGAAAGGGTCAGAGTCCTTGGAACACTAGGTTGCCTGGAGCTGCCCGGCCCGTATGCCTCTATATGAGAAATGAGGGATGGAACCTATCATATGAGCTAGTCACTGAATTACCAAGCCACTCCCCAAACTAAATATACTTTAGGCAGACTTTAAAAAGAAAGATTATGATGTAGGGGAAGGTAGTGAGATTAGTGAGAACCACAATCACTTCCTTTTCCTGCTCTGAGTGATCTCAACTCTGCTGCTACTGTTCTCTCCAATTTCCCCCTCCTTTCTAAAGCCCTTAGTGATTCCCACTTGACCTTAAAAATTGGCTTAGCCCACACTAGCTAGAGAAGATCCCAGAATATTAGAAAGTTACACTAATGGAAGGTCCTCTTGATCCCAGAGGTCTTTTTGATCCCAGCAGGAAAACAAAAAAATCAGAGAGAAAAATGACTTGTCCATTGGTCACCTGGCTAGCTACTAGCAGAGATGGGGCTTTACACATTGGTAGCTTTGGTAAACGGGGGAGGGGAGTGGGTTTTTGTGTAAATGTTTCCATCATTTATGCTATCATATAGTGATCCAGTTAGGCTAACAAGGTAACATCCAAGGTCACTACACTTTATGATTCCAAGAGTTAACAGACAGGGTAATGGATATACAGAATTATGTAACACAACAATCCGGGTAAACACCACTTAGGAAGGAAAAAGACTGTCATTTTTTTTACAAGCTTATGCTAGGTTTTTAGAAAGAAAAACTCATTTAAACTAATCTACATTAACAAGCAAGAGAAATATTATTGAAACGCTTAAGAGGTGCTAAATACTGCACTAGCAAGTTGATACATGTTAGCCCACTGAATTCTAACCATATTCTGCAGGGTAGACATTATTATCTTCATTTGATAAATAAGCTGAGATTCGGATGTGTTCTATGTCTAAATTCACATCACTTGTAGCTGCAGGGCTGTCAGTTGATCCTAAATCTATCTGATACCCAAACTCAAGCTGTTTCTCTAAGATCATGGCAAAGATTTGGGAGTCCTCCTTAAAATGCTCTGCTCCTACTATGCATGAGACGGGCACTGGTTAGGGAAAGGTATAAGGAGCATTTGTATGTTCCTCTTAACAGTTCTCAGGATGCTAGGGCTGAGTATCCTTTACTCAGGACAGCTTAGGAAAGGATCCTTTTAATTTTTTTTTAATCTATGAGCCTGCAAATGAGCATCAAGAAACTTCCTGCAAGACCCTATTCCATTATTTTTTTCATTTTTCCAACTGCTTCCAGTATTGTTTGGTTTGTTTAAAAACAGTATTCATTACATTTACTTAAGATAAACTATTATGTCTGGTCAAACAATAATGCATAGTTTTGAATATTATCAAATTATATAAACACATGCCAAATTTTCATAGTGTGTTGTTTGTGCAACGTGGCCATCCACTGACATTTTTTTAAAACTAGGGGGAAAAGAGATAAAAACACTGTTGTTACAGTGTGGGTGGGTAGTTAAAATGGGGTTTTAAGCTGTATTAATTTTGCCAATTTGCATGTAATTGTTAATTTTTGCTTTTGTTATTTATTATGTCTACCTTGCTACTCATATTCAACATTCTGACATAATAGCAGAAGCCAAAGCAGATGGCCATGGTTAGATGATTCCGAACAATCCATGGAGAGAAGGAAACTTCCAGTTCGAATATATAATATATACCACAGAAACCTTTGGCTATGTAAGTTCCTTTTCTCTTACAGTGTACGTGTTTTATTGTTTTGCCTTTATTTCTGATAAAATATTGGGCTATAATCTTTAAGACCCCTAAATACCATTACTAAAATAGTTTTAACCAACTGGTTTCCCTAGTGTTACATTTCTTCATATTACCATTCATGGTTTCCAGCTTCTGTCAAGTAGCCAAATTCAAATTTTTATTTTAAAAATCATCTAGGCCAGATACAACCTAATATTGTCCTCTGCTTACAATATTCTGAGTTGTTTACCAATGTTTTACTGAATCCTTTCTGGTCCATCTGAAGTCACCTACCTTCTAGACACACACTTATCTTTATCTGAATATAAAGTGACACAACCTCAGTATTTGAGCTACGTCCTCTCCAATCCCTTATAATAGACCCACTGAGGGAAATAGCATAGTTTTTAGAAATAAGAGAATAAAATTGGGGGGGGGTAAGAGGAGAGACATGAAACAGAAATATACAAAGATACACATAGGGACAGATTTGAGAAATAGACGCATAGACGTTTACTCCCTCCTTCCTTCTTCCCTCACCTTCCCCTGAGTTTTCTAGTTTTTTTCAGTCTCTTCCCACATCCTTTTCCTGCACCTTAGTCCTTTTGGCACCTACTTGATATGCTCTGTGCGTCCAGAGCCCTCAATGGTCTTGGCTCCCCACCGTTGCTCCTTCTCAGAGATGTCATTCTGCAAAAGACAGCATTCAGCAATAAGTGATGGCAAGAGATGTGCCACACTGAGAGAGGCCATGCAGCTGACACACATGGCCCCCAGGTCCTGTATATACTGCCTCCTCTTTACTTCTTGTAAAAGTAAAGTCAGGATCTTTACTGAGGATCTTTATTCAGACTCAGCAGGGTCTTTACTCAGACCCTTCCTTACATTTACCCGACCTTACCACCCCCCTGCTATGTTTAAATTAAACTGGTGGACCCTGAAACCTCCCCTTCTGCTCCACATCCCTCTTACTTTCCTCTTCAGGTCTTCCACAACTACTGAATCCCATAAATTACAGAGGTCTAGCTCATATCCTGGCTCACAGGCCCAAGGAGAGCCAGGTTAACCTCCACTCCACCTTCACCATAGGTTGTCACAGCCTCTCAATCACAATGTCATACTCTTCTACACCTGTTCCCTTCCATCCTTAACATTAACTATCATGCATGCCCCACTCAGGGCAGCCAACTGTCCTACTAGTCAGTTCCACCATTAGGGCTATTTCAGTACCAGATTGTCCTTTTTAAGCCCCCTTGAAGGTGACAGAGTGGCCCAGATGCCTCTGCTTCATCCTCCCCACCTCTACCTTTTATTGATTTTCCAAGCAAAGCTATTCCCAAACTCACCACAAAGTCAGGGTCTGTGTCCCAATCATCACCCTGGGTCTCCACGGAGACAGATACATCATGCCCTACTACAGACTTCCACATCTGAGGGTGACAGAGAGGGGAATAATTAGGGAGAGAAAATCAAGAAGAGGGAAAACAAGAATGCTGAAGTCAATGGTGTAGCAGTCCAATGGTTTTGCTATTTTTTCTTAGAATAAAATAGAAGTTGAGGCAAAGCAAATGGAAGTTTTAGGAAAATACTTTTGCTATTTGCTCTGTTACAGGAGCAGGGAGGATTTATTCAAGGCAAACTAATGTGGCCTAGGCCTAATGAGTCTGGAGAGAAGTTATCATGGGTGTAGGTAATGTTAAATAACCTGCGTGTTGGGGATCCCTGGGTGGCTCAGCAGTTTAGCATCTGCCTTTGGCCCAGGGTGCGATCCTGGAGTCCCGGGATGGAGTCCCACGTCAGGCTCCCGGCATGGAGCCTGCTTCTCCCTCCTCCTGTGTCCCTGCCTCTCTCTCTATGTCTATCATAAATAAATACATAAATCTTAAAAAAATAACCTGTGTGTCAAAACTACTGGAATCATTCATTTGAGTCACTAGGCTAGCTGCGAAGTAGCTTAAAGTGGAAATCAATGAGGAGCACTAGAAGTACAGCACCATCCCACTCAGGTTTCCACATATGACTCCTGTTATAGCTGTTGAAATGTTATTGGTCCATCCTAATAAAGTGAACATCTATACTCCTCTCTACAACCTGCAAAATTCTATAGAGAAAATCCCAACTCTAGTGCAAGTTCCTGTCCCCTCTCCATTTTAAGAGCAGCTACTGAACAGGTGCATGAAGTCAGTAGAGCAATTGGCTGAAATTCCTACCCTGAATGACACGTTAGAGAAACATCATTTGCTGGAAATGAATCACCTATTCTTTAATTTTTAAAAAATGTTCAGTTCTATTTCTAAGGAAGATAGCTGGTTCAAAAAATAACATGTAATAAATCCCTTATTTTGAACATTAAGAGTTATTAGATTGTTATTAACTAAGTAAATAATTAAGAAATATTTTGAGAACACTAGTATGAAGGGGAGCCAAACTGCTTTTCCACTGTGGCATTCCCCTGTGTTTCCACTAGCCCTGCCAATTATGCATGAGGAGCAGCAAGTTGCTCTGTATCTATGGGATCCTGGATCTCCATGTGAAGAGGAAACCATGAACAATGCTTATCTGCTCTGGGGAACACTGAGACCTCTTGACCCTGGTACCACTAGCTAGCTGGCAACTCCCTTGCCCATCCTTCCTTGGATTCCTCATTCCACTGCTGTTTTTTCCTATGCTCTTCACTGTCTCCCAAATGAGCCCCTCTTACAACTGCTCCTAGGACTCCATAGTGTCTCCATGCAGGCCATCAGAGTCTCTGATTTTCCTTTCCACTTCAAAACTCCATCTTTCTCCACGTTCTTTGAAAATCTCCTTGGAAACCAACTAGCCCAAGGAAATTTGGGGGAAGGTTGATTAAAGAGATGCAAAGAGGACAGTGGAGAAGTATTGGCTGAATCAGCTATACCTCGGGATGAGCCCCTGCCCAAAAAACTGCCTTCTCCTACAGGGCAACAATTATGGATGGGGGGAAGGTGGAGAAGTTTCTGGTCCTGGCTCCTGAGCTTCTTTTTGATAAAATAACTTTATACAGAAAATGGAAAGGAGAAGTCTCTGAAATATTCATGATCAAAAAGGAACTAACGAGGACTGATGGTCTTCTCCTCTTTCCTGCTATACCTCTGAGACCTGAGCCTAACACCCAAAAACCTCTTATCCCCATGTATTTTTGAAACAAAGGGAAGTTTCTGATACAGAGACTATTTGGTGTCCTTGAGTTACTGGCCAGAAATAGGAAAGTGAGAGGTGCCATTAGAGGTATGGGAGTGGGGATTAACTTGGTGAGGACTGATTCCCAGGATTGCGCACAATCAAGGGTCTTATCACAAGGCTGCCTTGTAGCATCAGTAAAGTACATGGACCTTGATTCAGAAGATCACCCCAGCTCTACTACTAAGCACCTGTGGGAACAGGGGTAAGGGAATCGGCACAGGATATGTACTTACTTGTCAGGTACCATGGTATGCAATTTTAAATATTAGTTTGGTAAATCATCCAATATCTTTGATACTGTTTTCCCCAGTGGAAAATAAATGAAGAGATTAACCTAGCTAATTCATCCAGTCCCCTTCATTTCTGACATTCTGGAATTACGTGATCCTACACTCACAGAAACCAGCCCTAGTCAAACCATCATGCCTTCATCGGGCCTCCATCTGCACTTGTGCTCAGCACTGGCATGCAGGAGCAACTACTTCCTGCTCTGTCACAATGTCTCTGATGTGAGTTCTGTCTCTCTGCTAGACCATATGCTTGCTCTCCAAGGACAGAGACTTTGTCTTCATCTCCTGTGGCCCTCCTCCCACCTCAGTGCCTAGGAGCAACAGGCCTTACTTAGGAGGGAGTTGTAGATTGTCAGTAGAAATTAGGGAGTCCCAGATGCTGCTGAATCCTGTGCCCTGGGCTCCTGACCCCCATTTCTGTTTCTATCCCCAGATGTTCATTACCCACAACTACTCACCCCCAGGCCTCTGGCCATAAAAGGTCAAGAGCCTACTAGAAATGACTTCGTCTTTCGCCGAGGACTAAGAGCCAGGTAGGTTCCCCTCAATTCAGCTCTTGCCCAGTGCTCCCCAACTTTCCCATTGCTCAGAGTACCCACCTCCAATAGTGCGAGTGTCTGCTCTAAGCCCCCAGCTTTTCACGTCGTCACTGGGCTCCCTCTCTGTGCTGCCACTTCAGAGCAAGAAGCTCTGAGCTGCTGCTTCAGTTCCGTATTCAGGTTTTCTGTCATTTCCTGACACCCTGTCCTCACAGTTACTTCCTGAAGTTTGAGTCAGTTCCTTCTGCTTAGGCACTTAAAAAAAAAAAAAAAAAGGATTAAATGCCTCTGCCTCTGTGCCTAGTCTTTTGCAAGGTTCTGAGAGTCACAGGGAAGTTATGAAAAATGCTGTTCTTACTCTTAAGAGTTTATATCTCGTCAGGGATGCAACACATTCAACCAGAAAATACAGAAAAGAAGCCTGTAGAGCAGCATTCATGTCCTAAATAGGTGGGCAGTTACATCTGTTATAAGGAATTTGTGGTAAAAGTAATTGGTGTGAAATAATCAAGAAAGGCTAAGTGGGGAAAAAGTGATTTTTATGTGGATTTTGAAGGGTAAGATTTAAAAAGAAACTCAATTCTACATTACCCATAGCACTTAGAACTGAGATTTGCATACAGATATTCAAATAAACACTGATCGGTTGAATTATAAGACAGTAAGTCACAGGGGAAAGGCAAGACATGGAGGGGGAAAGTTTCAGAGATTATTTAGGGGATAATGAGGAGTCTGAACTAATAACTAGTTGAAAGATTTGGTTCTAGTTAGCAGGAAGTCTGAAAGAACTAGATAGTACCAGATGGGGGAAGGTTTTGTGGCATCTTGTATTACTGCTCAAGATTTGCAGCCCCTCCCTTCCCTCTTGAAGTCAGACTTGCTCAGGTGACTTACTCTGGCCAATTAAGTGTGAGAAGTGAAATACATCACTCTCCGGTGGAGACTTTAAGACCAGTGCAAGCCACTGCTCAGCAAGGCAAACTGCAGCTCTTGAACGGCTCCTCTGGCAGCCTGGGTCACCAAGTGAGAGGGTCCCCCAACCGAGAATGACAACACAAGTAACTAAATAGTAATCTTTGCTGTTTTAGCTACTAAAACTTGGGAGTGTTTGTTACTATATCTGACCTGGTCTCTCCTAACCCTGCCGATGTGGAGTTCCAATCTGATTTGCTCAGTTTTGAGTTCCTCAGTGGACTCAAGCAGACTAGATGAGAGTTGTCTGAGATACAGCGGAGGTGATTTCTGCATTGGAAATACTAAGACAAAAAAAAAAAAAAAAGAAATACTAAGACTTCAGTCACTTCTTAAGGATTCTCTGCCAGTTTAGTGGGGGCGGTGGTAGTGTATTCATCTTCCCTACTTCATGACCTACTTATTGTGGCGGCAGTAAAATTATTTTAAGGAACAGCAAATTTTGTAGAGGGGGAAAAGTTCTTTTAGATCACTTGGAATCTGAATTCAGTATCAGAAAGGGGAATGATCAGACCAGATATTGTGACACACCAGACAGTTCTTTAGAGAAACCATAGAATTTTATCAGAGATGACACCAAGAAACCCTCTCTCTCCTTCGCAAATGTCCCACATCCATTTCTAATGAGACAGCGAAATTACAGCACATGGAAACAGCATGGGCTTTGGGGCCAGAAAACCTTAGTGCAATTCACTTACTGTACTTTGATAAAGTTAGCTTTTCCTAGCCAGTAACTTAATATAAAAATTACAGTACTGCTTATTCTGCTATACCCTATTAGACTTCCCTCCCCTGCCCCAGGCCCACCCACATGGATTCTTAGGGGTCTGATGTTTCAGTATACATCAGATAAGCATTCTCTCAGGCCCAGCCCCAACGGCATGAATCTCAGGCCTTAAGGCCAGTTTGTTTGGCTCAGTACTAGAATGAATTTCCTCATTCCACTTCATTACCCTGGGGTCTAATGACACATGCCATCATTAACTGGTGTGGGCAGGGAGAAGGAAGCCTGAATAGGTAGAGGTCACTACCCTGAATCCATCCCTGGCTGCCCTGCCCCCCTCCCCCTACGTACCTTCCTTCCCCAGCATGGCACACAGGCACTTGTACAACGACCCCTGTGTATACATACACTCGTTCGTACACATGTACACGCCGCCACAATTTTTGATTCTGAAAATAATTTTATTATTTTACAGTTGTTCAGGAAAGTTCCTGGATTGCTCTGACCAAGATTTGGTCACCACATAACAAAGAATCACAGCAGATCAATCAGTCCACCGGTTTTCTCTCTTCTTTGGGTGGGAAGAGCAGGCAGGGACACACCATGTGCATAATGAGAAAATAACCAGCAGGTAAGGGTGGGGCAAGGGGAGGCAGGGAACAGGCACAAACGGAATTCAACCCTGGCTGCCATTCTCAGGCTTAGATTCAGATATTTTGTCTTCTCTGTATCACTCTCCACTTTCCTCAGCCCTGTTACCATAGAGGGCAGATAACTCTGAGCTGAGAAACTGGAGTAACTGTCACCAATAGCAGAACAGCTTGGAACATCCACAAGCTAGGAGTGGTCATCAGACCAGTCAGGCACCTCACCTTGGACTAGCCCCTAGTGAGCGCTTTAGGGCCCACATTTGAGGCATACCCAGCCAACACAGGAATGACATGAATCTGATTCCCACTGTCCAGAGCCAGCTCTTCCTTTCAGTGAAGGGAGAGGCATGGGCCATTTACTATCTTAGCATACTTGTGATCAGGGCATACACAATAGGCTCCTGTCCTCATAGTCCATGACCACAAATCTAACTCCAGTTATGTCTGAACAGCCAGGGAAGGAGATGCTGTCCTACCCTGTGATCCGACAGCCAAAGCCCCTGGAGAGTTCTTTAGCTCCCATCCTATTTTGCAAGAGACCTAATCAGCTATTCTGTGAGATACTGTCCCCCAGAACTTTATGACAGGCCCACCTTCCTTCTGAAGCAGGAGAAAATAGAAGGTAAATGAGGCAAAGAAAGTATCAGTTGAAATGATACTGGACTACAGATTATTAGGTTTATTTGAACCATCTTCTAAGCTGAGAGGCATTCCTCAGCATTTTTCACAGGACCACACAAAATCAGGGCCCTGCAAAATGTGAACAAATCCTGGGCTCAATGACCAACTGTGCGGCCTCCCCAGATTATGCAGAAGTGTTCAGGCCCTGAGCAGTAAAAGAAAGCAGACCCGCTGGTCCCTGCAGCTCTGCCCTGGGCTCACATCCACCTCTGTTTGTGCAGGCACTTTCTGTGGAGAGTTGGAGAGAGGACCTGTAAGTGGGAAGACTATTCCACTAGAATTGATGATTTTGATGTTAGTGATAAGGGAATTCCAGGTTCTGAGGGGGTGGTCAAAAAGGTGAGAATTCAGTTTATAGATGGCCTGTGAAACACAGAATGAGCAGGACGTGAACCATCAGGAAGTAGATGGCTGCTAGCAGTGGCACTCGGGTCCGGGAATGACAGAGTGAACGCAGGACTCGCTTCCATCCAGCACCACTCCGGGTCTGAAAGAAAAATCTGAAAGTCAGAGAGTTTTACTCTACGGGGTATGTCCCTTTCCCTTTGCCTAACACTGCAGGAAAGAGGTATCCCGAGAGCAAGTCCCCTCAGGGTCACTTGGCCAACTCTACTAGGTTCCTCCAACCTTCCACACCCTTCTACTCTGAGATCCTCAGTGCCTGGACTTCTATCTTTCTCTTCCTTGACCCCTTGCCCTCAATGCAGCCAGGCCCGTGATACAGTATAGTACCCTCTCTTTGCGCTTCCCCTCCTTCTTACCCTTCGACAAGTGCTGCTTGTAAGATCTATCAACAGTGCCTGCTCCTGAGTGCCGCAGGAGCCAATGATGGGAGACCGGGCGGAGTCCCATTCACTGTGCTCCAACCTGGGGTGAGAAAAAAAAGAGGCATGGCTTGGTTCATGGCACGAGCAGCTGATCAGGTGAGGTCTTCCCAGTCATCTTGCCACATGCTGTGGCATAAGAGACTTGCGGCAAAGGCTGCTCCCAGAGGTCCTACCCCCATTCGGGCAGTGTGCAGGTGGAGAAGTTTCTTTCAGCAGCAGCAAAAGGGGATGATAACTACTAGGAATTAATGCCTATTATGTAGCAGATGCTGGATTGGGTGCTGTACATACATTTCATCCTCAGGTTTGAGGCTGGTGTTAATATCTTCAAAGGAAGGCTTAAAGAGGTAAAATGTCTTGCCCATGGTGGCACAGTGAGTAAGAGGTAAAGCCAGAATTAAAAACCCAGGTTTGTCTCTAAATCCCATGTTCTTTTTATCCAATACACCAGAGAAACTCAATAAATTCTTTTTTCATTTACTAAAGGCTAACAGGCAAAAGCATCCAAAAAAGGTATTTGTAGGGTTCTTAGAATTAAACTGAACTGGCCGCCTCTACTGCTTCCTTCTTCATTTTTTGCTGATTTGTTTAATACTGAAACTTCTCCATTTAATGAAGAAGTTGCCTTTATCCACTCAATGGTTTCTCACGAAAACATGAGCTGCATTAAAGGGGCTGCAGGTAACACAGCATGTCTGAACAAACATTTGCCTATAGGGATGTACTTTTTAATCATGTTGGAAAGGATGGAACACTTCACTCCTCCATATGAAGGGATGTCTATTAGCCTAACACTCCTGGCCTCTTTTTTCAGGTCATAGAGTTTTCTCCCGGAGAGAAAGAACACTTTAAGTTGATTTGTGAGTCTGAGAGGAGAAGCTGAGTGAGCACAGCCTAGCTCCATCCTGACAGTTTTCCTCTGAGAGCCAAGCTGACTGCACGCACAGTACACCTTCTGTGTCTGTTCCTCCAGAAGATAAGCTTTTCTGGGGCCACCTTGGCCTGGGGACAGCACAGTCTGGCACTACGAGGGTCAGTCTGACAACTTCTGTAGGTTAGGCCGAAGAAAAATGAAACATCTGTAAATACTGGAAAACCAAACAGCATTGGCTGCTTTTAAATAACAAGTCCAAACAAACAAACAAACAAATAAATAAGTAAATAAGTAAGTCAGTCCACTGAGTTCCACATACACCACAGAGTACAGGTGAATGAAGCTCTAACATGAGAATGGCAGTATGGGGCCTAGGCAGGCAGCATGTGATCAGCTACCTAAATTTGCTTTCTGCACCAGGCCCAAAGAGGACACTGTGGAGGGG